GAAAGTTATTTAATTATATACAAGTAAAATATATTAATTGCAAAAAAAAAATCTAATAAACCTCAAAATTTAGGATAGAAGCTTAAAAATATAAATATATCAGAAATATTATTTCATTATTTGCTTCATATATGATCGTCTTCAAATGAATGGAATTTATAAGCAAACTGCCAAGTAACACGTTGAAATTTCAACTTGATTCAAGCAGTTTAACATCATACACACACATGCACATTGAGTTTGCATGAAAACCCAACAAATTTTTATTAACTATTACTACTTATGATTATCTTGAAACCTTAACAACTTTTTGTGTTCACTCATTTATGCATAAACTTTGCCTTGTTGTAGTTTTTATTACACATTTTCATCATGATTTTTGAAAATACTGAAATATGATTGATTAAACTGTGGAAAAATTGTTCATAAATTTTATGCACATATACCAGGTAAAACAGAGAAGACAGACGTTTTTGAAAAATTCACATCACTAATTTTAGCTTCAGAAAAATTTTATTGACGTGTTCATATTGAATTAGCATTTGACAAAATCAAGTGTGGAAAACAACATCCTTCATGTGGTATCCTTTTTCATTGATGCATTTCTGAAGGCTTCTTGGAAGTTGACCTCCACTCTTTCCAGCATTGCTCTGTTGATTTGGGTGACTTCTACAGAAGTAGCCTCCTTCAAATCATCCAATATATGGGGCTTATGCTCATACACATGTGCCTTCAGGTTTCCCTACAAAAAATAATCACACATAGATAATTCAGGGGGAAGAGGGGGCCAAGGAGTGTCAGCAAAACTGGAGATGAGATGGTCACCGAAGAGAGAGTGAAGAACATCCATTGATTGTCTGGTTGTGTGGGTCGTTGCCCCATCCTGCTGAAAACGCACATATTTGATCAGGATATGTTTTCAGTGTAATTCAGGCACAAATGAGTTGTTTATCACCTTGGAGTTCACAGTAATAGCATTTCCATTATGGTCTTCAAAAAAGTAAGGACCAATGACACCAGCTTTTCCAACAGTACACCACTTTCAGGCTGTGCAGTGGTCTTTCATACAGTTCTCTCAGATTTTCAAGAGCTCAATAATGACAATTCTGTTGATTCATCATGCCATTTAGATTAAAATGAGCTTCATCACTCATTCATTGTGCATAGTCCCCTTGTCTCAACTGTTGCCCAACGACCAATTTGTAGGGGTAGAAAGGCAGTTCTTCATGCAAATTATGCCTTACTGAACAATTATTGATGCCAAGTTCAGTAGCATTTCTCCAAGCAGAGCAATTCAGACTGCACAGTAATGCATGTCTGGTGCAATCCACATTTTTTAGGGTACTTACCATTTGTGGAGCCCCCACCGGTCTGCTGTTCATTAGTGTACCTTGTGTATGAAGTGCATTAAACCAACATAAGATTGTGTTACAAGTGGGAACAGCCTGATTTCAGTGCATGTTGAATCAGTGACAACCTGTCACAGCAGTTCATGCTGAACTGTTGTGACAGCCTCGTTATTCATCATGAAACTGTCATAAGCAAACATGCAGTGCTCTATCATCCACAGCACCATGGCTTCAACTGAAATGAAAAAAAAATATGCTAAGACACCACGGATCAAATGGTACCTGTCAGATATATGTCTCTCCCCATGGGGCTGAGTAATAACCATTTCAAAAACGTCCATCCTCTCTGTCTCATCCTGTACATAGATTGACAAAAAGCTATATTTTTGATAAATTTCTAAAAAGAAATATGTAAACGTGTGTAAGAGAGCTGTTTATATCATTTAAACACTATCCACTTTATTTTTCATTATAATTTTATAAGTTATATGCATATAAATACTATGAGCATTATAGATTTTACATGATTTAATTAATTTTGACTCTTAATTTTCTTTCATCTTAATTTTTAGTTGTTTTTATTTTATCAAAATGTTACTCCAGCTGTCATTCTTGCAATGAGTAAACAGTGGAGGTTGAAAATAATGAGACAGTAGTTCCTTGTAAGACTTGAGCTCATATTCACCTGATTACAGGAAAGCCTGGTTAACAATATAAGTTGCTCTTAAGATCTGAGCTACTTTGTGTTGAAGAAGCCTGGTCTCACTATAATTTACTGCTTTGGCAGAAAGCCTGAATAAAGTTGCAATTAAAAAAAATTAAGATGAAAGTAAATTATCAATCAGAATTAATAAAATTAACAATGACTGACAATGTTTCATCTGAAAATAAAGATAATATTGATTTTTACATGTGTTGTTTTGACTTAGAACAATAATGCCTTTCATTGTTTGAAATTAATTTCACACAAGACCTTCAGTCTGTGTTATCAGTTTATGACTAGAATACCATTTTTTGATTAAAAGTCATTAATCAACATTCTAAGAAAAAATAAAAGGAAAGGATAGAAATGTAAACTTTTACATCAGTAAATAGAAAAAAATTATTTAAAATCAATATTCCTCCTTTTAGTTAGATTTATCTTAATGTGCTCTGCAGTTCCAGCACTGGGAATCGAACCTGAAACCTCTAAACTAACAATCTACTTATTCACTCAATAACCTACAAATGTTGTATATCCCAAATTCCTACTAACAACAAATAACTGAAAAGAGGCTGAGAATGTGGTAATTATCTGAATTGGGCCTCAAGGCAAATAACTTTGTTACTTCTGAAGTTATTTCCTCAATAACAAAAAGTATTTGGGATATTATGACTGGCTTCATTCCACAGACATTTAATCTAAAGAAAGCCAGGTAATTTTCATATTGATCTCAGAAAGAAATTTTCCCAGTGTTGATGCCTCTGTCATAGAGTTAAGATAAAAATTGGTATAACTAAGAAGGGTATCAAAGAAATTGTGAGGAAATAATATAAACACCAAAAGGATTAAATGTTTTTTCATCTAATCTATAACAAAACACAATGTAACTATATTTATCAGTCACACACCCTGATCTCCCCTTAGTAATCAAATATTACAATGTTATAGTAAGAGTAGGCATTACTCTATGCCAATAAATGAATATCTCTTTAATAAACAAGAGAGATCAGGTTGATAATTTTTCTTTTCATTTCATGTTAGTTTTCTTCAGATATTTTTACTTTTAATTATTTAAAAACCAGAATTCTTTTTTACATATGACAATAGAGTTAATTATATAGAAAATATAACAAATTCAATTGTAAAATTGCTTAAATATTACCATCATCTTTTTTTGTTTTGTTTTTTTTTATTTATTTACTGTACAGGTAAAGTAGTTTCTAAATTGTTCCAACTTGCATATTTCTTTCTCGACATTTACTAGTCATCAGCCTGCATCTTAAGACTAAAAGTTAGATTATCCTATTTTTTATGTACATAGAGTAGGAATAATAGAATAAAATAGCACAAGGGATTCAAGGATTTTTGTGTGCATTAAGCTAAAGAGTGAGAGAAAAGACTCTTTATCCTAATACAAAATCTGCTTTTCCTTTCTGGGTTAATGAACTTCAACCTGGTTGTAATTGAATCTCAGAACCTGTTTTAAAATGTGAGATATGCCCAATAGTGTTGACTAGTAGTTGTCAGTTTATACTTAGATTAATTGATTGATATGTGAGATATCATATTTTTCCTATCCTCACTGCTTCATAATAGCCATAGAATGACAGTTTGAGTAGTTGCAATGAAAGAAATACTAGTCAAAAATTAATAATAGTTGACAATGTTTCAGCTAATAAAATTCAAGATGATATTCCTACCAATACTGTCAGTGTTTGTAAATAAAACAATAACATCAAATATATTAGCACCAAGCAGTTGAATGGGAAGAATAAATTTACATGGTTAGATTTGATCTTCACTGAACTGTGAGAGCAATTATCATGGCATGATAGACTTCCCAATGAAAAATGAATATGAAATACTCTTGCTTATTCTTTATTACTTTACTAATACTGTAGCATAAAAGTCCAAGTAATTGCAATAACAAACTAATGAAATTAAGCTGAAATAAATAGTTGTCAAAAATGAGTAATAGTTGACAATGCTTCATCCCATAAAAAAAAATCAAAGCAATGCAAAAAGTTAAAAACTTGTATGCATGCCAAATATGATCAAGGAGTACACCATTTAAGATAATTCATTTTTTTTTTATATTTCTATCTTTCATCTTCTATTATAGATATTTTAAGACTTTTTTTTTTTTTTTTTACTGTTCATTGAAATTCAATTGACTAAAGTCTCTGTGCCCAAAAAGTCACATATTAAAAATTGTTTCTTTTTAGTCTTATCTACCAAGATCTGATATGAAATTATTTAAAACAAAAAATGTTTACTATTCTGTGTTGGATTATCCATTTACAAATCAGTAATATTGAATTTTTTTAAGCATTATAATTAATTTTCAGTAAATTCACAAAAGACAATATTCTTTATAAAAAATATTCTTCTACCTTACCATCCTTGTATACTTGACTGTATTATTTAAATTCTATAATTTTGTAGTGATTTCACTTTGAGGAAAAAAATTTATAGTCTGTATTTAAATACTGGTTGTGGTAACTAGATACTGAGATTTTAATAGGTTTGACATTGAAATAAATGCATAATTGTTTATGCTGATAGAATTATTAATTGATCAGTAGATAGTAAGGTTGGCTGTGATAAAAGGTAATCTTTTAGGTAAGTATTTGATGTAGTATACACTTTATTCATTGAATTTGTGATGCATTATCATTCACAAGTTTGAAGTCACTATTGAAGGGATTTTGCATTAGGAATTTTTTTTCTGCGACAACATTCTTGGTTTTCTGAATTCTAAGTTTTGCAGATAGAAATGTTAAATGTTTACAAATCTTACCACTCCAAATAAATGTGCATAGCTGAGGACATTTTTTTTATTTTTAGACAAAAACTGCAGCAAATTTTTTTGTTTATATATATTTAGATATAATGACAAAATATAGTTTTAAGGTATGCTATATTTATAGCGCTCACGGACATAAAATGTTGAAACACTGGTTCTTGTATGATAACCAAAGTTAAGCAACATTGAGCCTGGTCAGTACCTAAATGGGTTACCACTTGGGAATTCTAGGTGCTGCAAGTTTGGATGTGCAGGTGGTATAATGGATAACAGCTGAGAATTGGAAATCGGTGAGCTGAGTTCCAATTCCAGTCACTTTTATTATATTCACTAATGTGCAAATACTCTTGGGAAACATATGAATATACCTTTTCTGCCCCAGCTATGTGTGAATTAGTAGGAATTGTATCAGTAAATAATTATCTCCAAAAAATTGTTACAACCTAAAAATATTTGCTGGCTTTAAATAACCTACAAAAGGTTAATAAATCATAAAAAACAAATCTATTTATAAGTAAAAGTGCTCAATATCTAGAATAGGGCATTTGTAAATGTAAGTGGACACTGAGGTCAACAATAAGTGGTAACAGTCTGTTTCATACTTGAATGCAATCTTTATGCCTAAAGATTGTGTTAAAGCATGAAACAGACTTTCGCCATTTAGTGTTGACCTCAGTGTCCACTTAGTAATATATATATATATATATATATATATATATATATATTACTATCAGCATTATATTCAAATCTTGCTCTATCAATATGGCCGCCATAGCCAAATTGGTAAAAGCACATTTCAGCTATGAAAACTGTTTCCCTAATGGAAAATGAGATACATGTTCAATTCCTGTCAGAAGCAAAATCTTTCTTTATGATATTTCAATATAGGCCGATAGTTATTAATTTCACTATTTAAGAAAATTAAAAAAAAACAGTGATAGCAACTCAAATATGTGTACATACTAAAAATAACATTTATAGTAATAAATAATGCCAAATAAAAAAATCCATTCATATATATAAAGACAAGAGGAAAAACTGAGCGACTTTATCAAAGCAAAAGTAAAGATTTATTTTGTTGCCCATGTTTATATACAAAATAAATCCATATTTTTGCCCTTGTAAAGTTCCCTTACAGATACACTCTGTCTGAAAATTATATATATATCATTGTATTTTGGTTAATTTGGAATAATTCCCTCATCTTTGATTTTTTTGTTATCATTGTCAAAGTTTTGGTGAGTGTTCCCTCTGTATTTCTTCATGAACCTGTTGTTTCAAAAAAAAAAAAAAAATCTCCCAGCTCCCACATGCACTTGACAGGATGCATGAGGGCATGCTGAAAAGTTCTCTGCAATCAAGAAGAGATTTCTAAGAAAAAAAAAAATTTGATGTTTGATCATTTGATCAAATTTTAAGGATCAGGTTTATGTCAAGAACTTTTTAGCTCTCTCCTTGTGCATGTCCTTTAAGAACAAGATTCAACATTTTAAAATACACTTCAGAAAGATTGAAGGAGTCAGTAGCCAAAATATTGTAATAGCAATAAAAACAAAATTAGTCCCAAAATAACAAAAATACTTGTATAACTTCAATGTAACATTTCTCAATTGAATTTAAATGGAAAAGTTAATTTTTATCTGTTTTTTTACTAAAGTACTTAACTTGTAAATGATAGTAACAAAACACTATAAGAAATTTTCAACAACTATTTTTAAAACTTTTTATTTTATTCTATTTTAAGACATTTTAATTTAATTTTAACCTTATTTTTTAAGATGTTTTATTTTAAGACATTTTAATATATTTCAAGATTTTTTCAGGCATTTCAAGACTTCTTTAAAACATTTCAAGACTTTTTAAGATTTTAAAACTTTTTATTTTATAGAAAACTAGTAATTTTATCAATGTTTTAACCACTTTTTAAAATCTATCAAGTTAAAAAAAATTTAAATGACCTAATTTTAGCCTGCTCAATCTATTCTATACTACAAAATTATAAAAGATTTGCAGTATGTTAAAATCTTACCTATTTCTGTAGCCAACAAAATGAATAGAAATTTTATGTTTTTATAATTTCAAAATAAAAACAGTAAAATTCAGATGTCCTAATTATCACTGAATCTGTCTGACATAAATGTTGATTTGTTTTTTAGTTTTATTTTTTGGAACATCATATTGTGCTTCTTTGTCAAAGGAAACTCTTATTCTCATTTTTCTTTTTTGTCCATCTTTTTTCAGAGAGGCAGTCGTGACAAGTGTTTGACCCATATCACCACTACGGGAATTTATTGTACAAGAAAGCCTTCCCCTATTACGGACCAAACCAGAGTTTGTGTATAAAAAATTGTTTAAACACAACAAATTTGTACAGTGGAGCTTCCAAGAAGTCAGTTGTTTGTTCTCTTTCCTTGTCAACTCAGTATGACTAGCTTTCTCAAGATGGCTGACATTCAGAAGGAAGAAGAGGACAATGAGAACTAAAAGAATGAATATGTCACAGGGGTGGGGAATAAGAATATATGGATGAAAAAATTTGGTTCAGGTACAAGAAACCCAAGCTTGTTGACAAATGTATGTTTTTTTTTTTAGTTTCTTTTTGTTTCTAGGGGATGGGAAATGAATTGAGATATCCAATTGTGAATGGATGGCTCTTACAGGTGTTTGGAGTTAGTTCTCTATATGCCACAGTCAGTCATTATTTGGTGTCTAGACAATTTGGAGGCAGCACTGAACTACATTGAAAGAGACATTGCATCTGTCAAAAAAAAATTATAATGATGAATAAATATGAAATCAATTTTTTTAATTAAAAGATATAATGAAAACTCCCAAAAAGAAGAAAAAAGGATGTTGTCTAAAAATTTTTCAGCTGTTTTATTAAGATGCAGCTGTTGTTTTTTTCTTTACACTCACCACACACAAAATCACATACACACACAAATGTCTTATTACTAAAAATTCTTATATTCTTTCATTGATAACACAGGTGTACAACCATCATCTTGTTGGCTTTATACCTCATACCAAACATAACTGTTACCATGGATACACACTTCACAAATGATAGTCAGATGACATGACTCATTGAGTTAGAACATTGGCTCTTCCACTAACCATCTTGGTAAAATGGTGGACTCAGGTTCAAATATAAAGAAACCAGTTAGACCTTTGATAAGTCTTTCAAACCTCATCTGTTGAGGATGTGAGTTCTTTTACTAACCATTTTGGTAAAATATTTGGCTCTATTCTTATTATAAGAACTGCCATATAGACAATGGACAAGTCTTTGAAACTTTATACCCATTGCAGTCAGTCTATTTGTGCACTTCTAAAAATCTATTATGCCCTCCCTGACCAAATAGGTCTTAAATATCTTATTGATACCAAATGACTTACTTTTTCTAGCATCTCTCTTGCCGCCAATGCTAATTGCTGGCGCCAGTCTAAACATGGTCAACAGTTGGTTCTACTTATTAACATTGCATTTTCTTTTTACTTCATTGGCACCAAGCAGCCCCATGTCTACAAGTAGCACAGTTTCTAACCAGCATCTCTCTTATTATTATTATTATTATTTCATATTATTAGTAATACTATGTATTACTGGTAATACTATGTATTACATCTCTTCTATGCATGCCTTTCAAAAAACAATTGTTATTAAAAGAATCTAACCAAAAATTAATAATAATGACTGCCAATTCTTGCTGTACATTAAATTTTTCCAAGAAATCAGAATAAGATTAAAATTTAAAAAAAAAACTGATTTTTTTTTTCTTATATTTGTTCTGAGAAATAATGATATCATTTAATTTTACAAACCTATCTGTTTTCTTGAATTAAAAGTTTATCATCTAAACTTCTGAAGAAAAAAAATCAGAGGGACTGCTTGCCCATATTTAAGACCATTCATCTGTTGTCTTTAAAAAAAAATCTTTAAAATAAAAAAATAAAAAAAAATATCACTCCCAAGCAATGCAAGATTAAATTTTTTTTTTATTTGGAATATAAAACTTTTTTTCTATTCAGATTGAATTTTTTAATTTTTTTTATTTAATTTTTTATTATTATAATTATTTTTTTGTTTAGTTTTTTCTTTTTTTTTTCTTTTTTTTTCTTTCTTTGTTATGAATACATTTTAGTTACTTTGTTTAATTGGACAATTTTTAACTTTAACAGAGGGTTTGGGTGGGTAAAAATTTTTTTCTTTTCCTCATTCTCTCTTGTTCTCATTTCTTCTCTCGGGGAATTTTTTTAAAAATGGGGATCTTATCTCCTTGGAGCATGAATGTAATTTCTTCTCAACATGTATAAAAGATTTTGAAAATTAAATTAGAAATTGTTCATTCTTTTTTTTACATTTGTTTTGTACTTGTTACTTTCCAACTTAAATAAGGAAAATACTGGCAAACTTGAACCTTCATGCCCCACAAAAACTTAAGTGTCAAAAAGACGGTTTCCATTGACATCACTATTATTTTAACCACCTTTCATCCTCATAAATGTTTGTTGTTTTAAAAAGTAATTAGTAAAATTGTAATAAAACTTAAACATGATGAAAGTGAATTTATACATTTCTTTTTGTTTTTGACAATTTACAACAAAAATATTAAACACTATTTATTTGATTCTTTATTTACAAGAATAGTTTATAATTCTAAAAACTATATACAATTAAAAGTAATGCAATGAAATATCATTTACCAATTTATAAAAAAATAAATATGAAAATAATTTTTTATTCATAAATTTATAAACACTTACTAAATTATTAAAATATGTGAAGGAAATCATTATTTATCATTTTATAAAGTTCAAATCAATGTTTTGGCAACCATTCCAATAAACAATATAATAAATAAATAGTGTTTATTATTTTTGTTGTAAATTCTTCAGAACAAAGAAAATGTATAAATTCACTTTCATATGCATAGGCTTTATTACAATTCTAATCATCACTTTTTAAAGGAATAAACATTGCCAAGAAGTGAAGGTAGTTAAAATAATAGCAGTGTCAATGAAAAAAAAACATCCTTTTAACACTGTTTTTTTTGTGGGCACAAAGGTCCAAGTTTGTGAGAATATGTTAATTATATAATAATTTTCTATTCAGTCTGAATTTCTGGGATGAGGAGTTATGATTTACACTATTTACATGTGGACTGTTGTCCTCATCTTTGTTGTTGTTATTACAATGTTTCAGTCATTGTGCTCTCCAACCTTCATCAGGTGTATGACAATCCAGGTAACCTACAGGGAATCCTGAATTGAACACTTTATTTAATCTACAGAGGTAGACTGTTCTTGTTCCACTGCCTATGTCTAGTGATATCTCATCTAGTTCTTATAGGACGAGCAATAACCGAGCAGTACTAAAAAGTAAGAACTAGATGAGATATCCCTAAACATGAACGGTGAAATGAGAACAGTTTACCCCAGTAAATTAAATAAAGGGTTCAGTTCAGAATCCCCTATAGGTGAGCCCGATCAACATACATCCAATGAAGACTGGAGGGTACAATGGCTGAAACATGATAACAACAACAAAGATGCAAATAGTAGTTAGCATGTAAGTAATGTTAATAATCATGTATTCATGAAAATTTTTTCCTTTTTATTTTGCAGATGTAAAATAAATATAGTCAACATGCCTTCTATTATTTTCAGAATGAACCATTATCATTCCAAGTATTGTTCAGACTATTGAACTCATTCTTTATATTGACCATTTCCTTGGAAAAGGGAGATCCTTTTCTTTCTTTATGGGTTGTCATACCTGAAGAAAATTGTAGAATGACTCAGGCAAAACATTACGGAAAGAATGAATTCAGTTGTCAATAGTTGAAAACACACAAATTGATGAGTTGATTAAAACTAAGCATATTAATAAGAGAAATTAGCTTGTAAACTTTGTAGATTTGCTTGCAAACTTATAGGATGATAAATGAAGGTTACAGTAATGGGAATAATTTTAAATTTATCAAAAGCTGGTTTTATTGAGAAATGAAAAAATTAATGTTTAAAAACTTAGTACATATTTTCTAAGTATAATGGGTTTAAAAAAATCATTTGAATGATCTGTATATTCAGTTATTTGACACGTTGACTGTCAATTATAAAATCTGACTTCAAGCACCAACTTTATAATGGCCAACTTAGGCAATAAGAAAATTTTATGAGTTAATTTATAACTTCAACTGAAGTCTTAACATTGTTTTCACACTAAAAGTATCACTGCGAATAAACTCATTGTTGGTGCCAATATGTCAGAAAATGCCAACCAATAACTTGTGATTGGCACTCAATATGTTAACTATTAATTCAACAAGTTAACCTTTATGTTATCAGGGAAGAATCTGGTATAGAATTTGATTTCAGCACATTTTGTATCAATTCTATTATAAAAATTAATTATAATATCAGAGAAATTTAACAGTAGTCTTTCTTTTCTATAAAATCCTTTACAAGGAAACAAAACAGTGAATGTAACTATAGCAAAATACTCTTGAGTAATATTGTATGCTTCTTTTTTCTATGGGATTTTTATGTGTATATGACTACTTTTTTTCAGCATTACTATTTATGTTGGTATCACTATGTACTCTCAATCTTTATATATTTTTTGAGAAAAATGTTTACTGTTTCCTTGAACATAAGTTGGGAAAATATGAAAATCTGTGAGGAGACATGGCAGGACATCAAATACATTGCTCGATAAATGTCATGGTTTTATCACCAATTTGATTTTTGTTTGTCTGACAAAATCTGAGATACCTACAAAGGAGGAAATATAAAAGATTTGCCAGAGCCAAAATCTACCTGGATCTGGCATTCCTGCATTGTGAGAAAATGCAATAAATTCCAGTGATTTAATTTAACATTTTTGATGAGGCATTTTAACAATTATTATTTTATTACTATTATTTTATCTTATTAATTTTAAGTAAATCATTTTTATTGTTATTATTTTATTACTTATTTTCTACTACCTTATTGCTATTATTATTACAGTAAAATAGAGTAAAGCTTGTAATAACAATGTAGTATTTTGGGGGAAATCTGGGTTAATGATGCTTAAGCTAACACAATATTTGATCCTTGGGTCATTATTTGACATTGGAACAATATTTAAATCAATAAATCTTAGCAAAGACATCTTTTTGCCCTTTGCTGTATGGTTCATGATATATAGCTATTGGATTTTTAAGTGTTGGAAGCAGGAGTTAATTTCTCTATGGAGCATCCAATCGGGATTGAACTCACTAGTCAGTTATAACTGACCTAGCAAGACAAACTTGCTAACCATTACACCACATTGAAGCACTGGAATGGCTCAGAAT